TTCATAGATCTCATCAATATTTATCTTCAACTCTTGTATCTATTTCTACAACCTCTTTCTAATATCTATACCAATATTGTCTTCTTGCGTATATATCTAACCACTGATATTTGTATGTTTTTGCTATAGTTATGCTTATACACAAATGTCTATGCGTAGGGTTTGATATCTACTCTGATTTCCTTTGTCTATCTGTATATTTCTATTTTAAATAAAATTGATATGAGTATTGTCAAAATCAAGTAACACGAAACTAGATTTGTTAAGAATGCATAATAAGGATAAAGCATTATAAGTAATATACTTAGGATTGACCAAAAGTTCTGATTCCGATGTTCAAAAATTTTAGAAAATAGTTAAAACCGAAAGTTTTATTGCATGAGTAGATAGTAGAATGCCTCGTCTACAATAATGTATGTAACAATTCTATCTGGGATTTTATTGTAACATTTTTTTAGATAAAGTCTATAATACTTGTGGCTGAATAAAAGTTCTGATAATATCAAATAAAAATATGAAAAGAAAGAGATATTTTTAATTTTACTTTATCAAATATTCAAAATAGTCATCATGATTATTTATACAAAGTTCGATCTTTTGTAACAGTTTGTCAAAAGTTTTTTAAATTCGTTTCGTGAAATACTCTTTACTATCTTACAAACCTCCGGAACTAACGATTCTGAATCTGCTTGATCAGTCAGATATTCGCATAGGCACCATATTGTAAGCTTTGTCTAAAAGAATGTTAGAATTAGGCATGCACTGGCTCCAGTCTGACTGGGCAGTAATGTGACCGAATATCAGTCAGTCTAGTTGCTGATTCCACTACGCATCAATCTGTCTGGATACCTATTCGATTGGGTAGTAGTCCGTCTATGCTCTATTTTAAGTTGATACCAGTCGGACTGGAATTGGTGCATACCTAATGAAACGTAAACATACATCTACTGCATCCATTTATGAAGAGTCAGTGTCTGTGGTATTCCTCTATTATTCAAATTATCTGATAAAGGACGGGGAACGTTTTCCTGGGATTTTGGCCCACTGTGAAAATAAAGGTTGTTTCGAGTGAAACTTTCAGCAAATACTCAGCTATATACCAGTAGCCACCACACAAAATTACAACTTGATCCGTTGAACTTTTCCTTTACTTTCACCGCGCCCTAAATGTGCATATAAATACCCTATAGGGGTTACCTTGTGGGCCCTCGTTCTCGACTATACGATTCAGAACCGGAGCCATTTTTTCAGGATCACTAGGAATCACTGAGGGCTACAATATTGCAAAGACATGAGGTCCAGAAAAAATCTGTCTTTGTATCCATTTGAAGTACACAGTGTCAAAAATTCTTGAAAAATCCCTATAGAGGTGACCTTATTGACCTTCGTTCTCCACTATACAATTCAGAACCGGAGCCATTTTTTTAGGGTTACTAGGAATCACTGAGGGCTACAATATTGCAAAGACATGAGGTCCAGAAAAAATCTGTCTTCGTATCCATTTGAAGTACACAGTGCCAAAGGTTCATGAAAAAGCCATATAGAGGCTACCTTGTTGGCCTTCGTTCTCCAGTATACGATTCAGAACCAGAGAGATTTGTCTAGGATGGCTAATAATCGGACGGGTCTACGGTATCCCATACACTTCAACCTGAATAAAAACTGCCGGAATAACACTTTGGTGTACAGAAGGTTCAAAAGCAGTAGTCCAAATTATGATGGAGAGAATGTCGGATACGTTTTTCTCTTAATATTGGAGTCACTCTTCTGAATACTTGTGCGCTATTCGTGCGAATATTAAGAACGTTCGACACTGTATATCACTAACTGGGAGTGCTATGTAGATGTCAACTGTGCAATGCGGGATGTATTAAGTTATCAATAAGTTGGGTTCGTTAGTGTCATCGAGTGATTATCAATCGTAGTAGAGTATGTGGGAGTTGAAATATCTAATTTGTTTATCTCGTATGAAGCTTAAGATGTGCTTTTATCAAGCTACTTTCGAGATAACGTTTCTTTAGATTGTGATCCTGCTGATGAATGGAAGGATAAAAGAAGATGAGTGGGAACAACAATACGTGGTTCCGCTGTCTGGATGGCAGTGGATCAGTGGACAGGTCGTATTCTTCACTAGGGCAACATTAATTCGGTACCAATACCCATCCGTAGGGAACTGTTTCATGAATATTCGACACTCTACACCCTATTGCCATACCAGGGCCGCTTTTGCTGCATCTTGCATGTGTGGCAGATTGTAGCCGCTACTGATTCTCACTGACTCTAGCAACACAACTTTTAGTGCAAATCGTCTATCGGAGAAAGAAGGTGAACAAGGTTACCTCTATAGGGATTTTTCAAGAATTTTTGACACTGTACTTCAAATGGATACAAAGACAGATTTTTTCTGGACCTCATGTCTTTGCAATATTGTAGCCCTCAGTGATTCCTAGTGATCCTGAAAAAATGGCTCCGGTTCTGAATCGTATAGTCGAGAACGAGGGCCCACAAGGTAACCCCTATAGGGTATTTATATGCACATTTAGGGCGCGGTGAAAGTAAAGGAAAAGTTCAACGGATCAAGTTGTAATTTTGTGTGGTGGCTACTGGTATATAGCTGAGTATTTGCTGAAAGTTTCACTCGAAACAACCTTTATTTTCACAGTGGGCCAAAATCCCAGGAAAACGTTCCCCGTCCTTTAATACGAGCACGTCTTCGTTTAGGATTTAAATCAATAAAAAGACGTTGACGAATATTTTCATCACCAGAATCAATCAACTGACGTAAACGTCTTGCATATTCATTCTTAGAAAAATAAAAATAATTTAAAAAAATTGATTGGTTTGAAGAAGAAAAGATTACTGGTGGCATTCGAAGAATAAATTGCTGTTCAAATTCAAATTCTTCTTCATTTTTCTCCTTTTTTTTGTTGTTATTCTAGTTGATCTTGTAGGTATGGTTGATGTATGAAACAATTTCTGGTTTATTACTCTTTGTTTTTTTTTTTTCTAAATAATAGATTTATTAATAAGATAATAAAAGAAAAAAAGATAATTTGTGTCGTCGTTTAGCTCTGATTACACTAGTAAAAGCGACTTTTATTAAATGTAATGTAAATGTAAAAGATTGATAATCGAGACAAATCCATTAATTTTTTAGATCCTATTTTAAGATAAAGATCTTTTTTATTTGTTTATCAAATTCTTCAAAATCAATTGGTTGATAACAAAGTATACGAGCGTGTTATGCTCAATTTGATTCAATATAATAAGGAAGTTAATATTGGTTTTGATAGTTTCTTTTTTCGTTTAAATTTTTTAGTTTTATTCGGTTGAAAACTATTTTCAATAAGTGGTTCTAAAAGAAAAAATCTCATCAGATTTCTATTTTATATTGGATAAAATTCTATAATATACTATACTCTAATATAACGAACTGTTTAGATATTCAATCCTCTATTAGAATTGATAACATATATCAGATAGATAAATTAGAGATTATATTTAAAACTCTTGAATAAATTTCATCAATGAT